CCCTCAGCTCTTCAGCTCAAGGTGAGTGCTCTACCAGTTGAGCCATAATGCCACTTCCTGTTTTCTGGTGGTTTCTTGGAGATAAGAGTCTCACAGACTTTCCTGCCCAGGCTGGCTTTGAATCGTGATCCTCAGATCTGAGGCTCCTGAGTAGCTAGTCATGAGCCACCAATGCCCAACTTTCCAAGCTTTGAGTAAAAGGTAATTTCTAAAATCTTAATAGTTTAATTGTTTTCTTTGGGTTTACCATTGATCTATAGAGAATATACTTTAAGATTTTAAGTTATGATGTAAGTTTTAAATTTTCCTAGGTATTTTATTATCATATTTTTCTGGTGTTGTTCTGAATATAATGTCTCTGAAATTTGGACTAAAACAGGTTGTTTTCTTCTAAGTATATGTTGAGTGTTTATAGGTCTTTGAGAATACACATCATATGCTTTGAGTTATTTTGCTTATCAAATTCAGATAAACTCATTGTATTTTACTATTTTGTATTTCCTTTGTGTGTTTGTATACACATTCTAGCACAGGTGTATGCATGTGCACCAGTACCTGGGCTTGAACTCAGAGCCTCAAGTTATTGCTGTATTTTTTTTCCTTCAAGGCTGCCATTCTACTACTTGATCCATACCATGTCTTCCAGCTAATTTCTATACTTACTGTCTGAGCTAATTTTGAATTGCAGTTCTTAGATCTCAGCCTTCTTTGTATCTAGGGTTACAGGTGTGAGCCCCAGCACTGGACTATTTTGTATTGTAAAGATAGTATTTATAAATCTATTTAGTGGGAAGATGAAAGATATGATCTGAGTGTACTGTATATCTTGCCACATGGTAGCACCTGTCTGTGATCCCAGCAATTAAGAGGCTGAGGCAGTAGTATTATGAGTTTGAGGCCAGCCTGTGCTAATCAAGGCCAGCATGGTAAGCCATTGTCTCAAAACAAAAGCAACAACAAAATGACTTGATCTACTCTAAGAACAGTATACATAAAGCAAAGTTTTAAGACAGTTGTTTTTAGGAAATTCTTAGAAGGATGAAGTGACTAGAAATAATATGTAATAGGCAGGTGTGAGAAAAACAAAAAGTTATTTTAAATTGTTCTCACATGTTCCATGTAAAATAAGACAAGGCTACTTTTTTCTCCACTCCTTTTCCCTTCCCTCCTTTTTCTTTTCTTTTCTTTTCTTTTTTTTTTTTTTGAGACAGGGTCACTGCATGTAATCCAAAATGGCCTATACTTGAGATCCTTCTGTCACAGCCTCCAAAGTGCGGGAGTAGTAGGTATGGGTCATGCTTGGCTAGGTGTGTATAAACAATAAGTTATTTTACATTTTTCTTAAGAATGTGCTAAGAAAAGTTATACTGATAATTTAGTGCCTATAATCCTAGCTACTTAGGAGGCTGAACTTTGAAGATCAAAATTTGTAGCCTAGGCAGAAAAGTAGGTGAGACTCTTAAACTGTAATTAATCATCAAAAAACCTTAAGTGGAGCTGTGACTCAGATGGTAGAGCACCAGCCTTGAGCAAAATGCTAAGGGATAGTATACAGGCCCTGCATTCAAGCTCCAGTATGACACACACACACACACAAAAGACAAAACTCCATTCTACCATTGTGTGTTGCTTGTTTTAAATTCCTTGTATATGATTTTTAGTTTCTCAAAATTTGGGCTAGT